GGTTGAGCTCCGGAGTTTTTGGTGCTCTCCGAGATTTTATTAACCTAACCGGGTAATAATCGGGTTTTTGTGTGCGTGTGTGTGTTTTTGTGTTTTAAAGGAAAACGGGGAGAAAAAAAGGGCGGGGAAGTTGCCGGTCATTCGTGCTTGCTGTTGGCATTTATTCTAAGGGAGAGACATCAGCTTGGGGGTTTTTTTTGTTTTTTTGTTTTAAATTCATCTCTCCGCCTACCCTTCAAAATCCCCCTCGCCTCTGGTAGAAGCGAAAGCGAAAGACAGTCTCCAATGTGTCAGAATAAGCTGGGGTTAAATCTGATAGAAGCTCTGGGATGTCCCTTTTCTTGCGCCTTTTTAAAAAAGCCGACCATTTTTTTTAATTTGAGGCCGTCAACAGCCTTAGGCGAGATGAACTCGGCCGCGGTTAGAAGAGGCCTCTTACTCCTCTCTTTCATATTTTTTTTTCTCTCTCTCTTTTTTTTAAGGGGTGGGGTTGCAAAGAGGCCGATTAGCCCAGGCGGAAAAATGTGTGTGGTGAAAAATGCCCCCTCGGCTTATAGGCGAGTCACCATTTTTCCCCAGTTCTTTGTGGGAAAATCGGTCCCTCGGCTTATATTCGGGTCGACCTATACTCGAGTATATACGGGTACTCAGAATTATTATCAGAAACCTATATAGCTGAGGTGATCGTTAGATGGGATTCTTACCTCCATTTTGCATGACTACATATATGCCTCCATTCCCTCCTTTTTTTTTTTTATTTTACTGCTGCAGTAGTTGCATTGTTCTCCATCCATTTGAATTGCTAAGTGAAACATTTAAGTCCTTATTTCTTTTTATTCCTGGTCATTTTGGTCTTCAGCAATTTCTATCTATTTATTTTTCATTTTGTTTTCTTAGGAAAACACCAATAGTAAAAAATAATCTGAGGATTTTACAGGTATTGGTTTCAGACTTCTCATATTAGGGTATTACTAAGCAACTTTTTATAAATGCTCAAAAAATGTGCAAAAAATTGCCTCCAACACAAAAGCATTATATTTCCCTATTAATGTAAGTAAGAACCAATTTAGTTTAATGGTTAAGGCATTAGGCTAGAAACCGGAAGAACAAGAATTCTAGTCCTACCGTGGGCATAAAGCCACCTGGGTGATTTGGGACCAGTCACTCTCTCAGTCTAGGAAGGAGACAATGGCAAATCAGTTCCAAAATCTTGCCAAGAAAACTGGAGGGATCTGCCCAAGTAGTCTCCAGTCATTTGAAGGCTCACACACACATTATCTGTACATCTGAAGAATGTCTCAGCTGCCCAGAGTTACCCTGTGGTAAGATAAATTTTATAAACAAACAAATGTCTTGTAAAATGGATATCAGTATGTTAACATCAGTAAACAAAATACTAATTCTATAATGTGATTGTGACTACAAAATGTATATACAGCCACGAACTGATCAAATATATGGCAAAATAATTAGAGAGTATATTAAACTATTTAATCTCCAGTATATCTATCCTACAAATAAGATAGCAAAAAATCTTTCTGTTTGTTAGGTGCTGAGCTTGGTGCAGTGAAAACCTGTGAACTGTGTAAGCAGACTCTCACTGTAGATCTGGATGATTTTAATGTGAATGACTACTACAGGAATCACCAACAATCTCGGGTAAGAAATCAGCTACTCTGGTAAATCCATCCTTTGTTGAAGAAAGCAAATAATTTTGATTATCTTCCTAGATGAAAGCATGCTTGGAACCCAGAAATCTAAAGGAGAATTTTATGCAATATCTTCCTAATCTTATCCCCAGTCTATGAGAAAAAAGCCTTCTGTAATTGTTAAGCACATTAGTGTGATTAATTAATTAATTATGTGCCATTAAGTTGATGCCAACTCTTAATAGCCATACATATAAATATCAGGCTGGTTCCCAACCAGATCCTTTAGGTCCTCCAATGGTACACCTATCCTTTGCTGTAATTGAGTCAGTTTGCTGCTGCTCGTCTTTTCTTTCCTTTTCTTCCATCTTTTCCAACATTATAGACTTTTCTAGACCAGAATTCTGGGAGTTGAAGTCCACGAGTCATAAAAGAGCTAAGGTTGCCTACCCCTGACATAATGTGTCCAAAATATGATAATTTGAACTTGGTAATTTGTGCCTTGAGCCATGTGTTTTCTTAGCAATTTGTGATATTTTCAGGAGTCTTCCAACATTTTAGAAGGCATACTACTACTACTACTACTACTACTACTACTACTACTACTATTACTAATAATAATAATAATAATAACAACAACAACAACAACAACAAAACAACAACAACAACAACAACAACAACAACAACAACAATAATAATAATAATAATAATAATAATAATAATAATAAAGCACCTGCAACATAACACCCCGGATTTAACAATTGTCGATAAGAAAGACAAAAAAGTCTGGATAGTGGACGTGGCAGTGCCTGGAGACAGCAGAATAGACGAGAAAGAACTGGAGAAGATAACAAAATACAAAGACCTACAAATAGAAATAGAAAGACTGTGGCAAAAGCAAGCAAGGGTAGTACCAATAGTAATAGGCGCCTTGGGTGCAATCCCAAAACAACNCAGGAAGTTTCTCCTTAGTTCTAGGTTGCTTCTCTCTTTGGTTAGTTTCCACCCGTTGCTTCTTGTCCTGCCTTCAGGCGCTTTGGAAAATAGCTTGACTCCCTCTTCTTTGTGGCAGCCCCTGAGATATTGGAACACTGCTATCATGTCCCCCCTCGTCCTTCTCTTCATTAAACTAGACATACCCAATTCCAGCAACTGTTCCTTATATGTTTTAGCCTCCAGTCCCCTAATTATCTTTGTTGCTCTTCTCTGTACTCTTTCTAGAGTCTCAACATGTTTTTTACATCGTAGTGACCAAAACTGGATGCAGTATTCCAAGTGTGGCCTTACCAAGACATTGTAAAGTAGTATTAATACTTCACATGATCTTGATTCTATCCCTCTGTTAATGCAGCCTAGCACTGTGTTGGCTTTTTGGGCAGCTGCAGCACACTGCTGGCTCATATTTAAATGATTGTCCACTAGAACTCCGAGATCCCTCTCACAGTTACTACTATTGAGCAAGGTACCCCCTATACTATACCTGTACATTTGGTTTTTCTTGCCTAAATGTAGAACCTTACTTTTTTCACCATTGAATTTCATTTTGTTAGATAGCGCCCAGTGTTCAAGTCTGTCCAGATCCTCCTGTATCCTAAGCCTGTCTTCTGGAGTGTTGACTATTCCTGTCAGCTTGGTGTCGTCTGCAAATTTGATGAGTTCCCCATCTATCCCCTCGTCCAGATCGTTGATGAAGATGTTGAAGAACACTGGGCCCAGAACAGAGCCCTGGGGCACCCCACTACTCACTTCCCTCCATGTAGATGTGATTCCATTGAGACCACACGCTGAGTACGGCCAGTCAGTCCGCTACGGATCCATCTGGTAGTGATGCTGTCTAACTCGCATTTTTCTATCTTATCTTAGTAGGTTGTGATCTACTTTGTCAAATGCCTTACTGAATTCCAAGTAAATTATATCCACAGATTCCTCTGATCCACTAATTTTGTCACTTAGTCAAAGAATGCAATAAGATTTGTCTGGCATGATCTGTTTTTGACAAACCCGTGTTGGCTTTTAGTAATGACTTTGTTTGCCTGTAGGTGTTCGCTGATTCGTTGTTTGATTATCTTTTCCAGAATCTTCCCAAGTATTGAGGTCAGGCTGATAGGTCTTTAATTTCCTTGGTCCTTTTTCCCCCTTTTTTGAAGATGGGAACTACATTAGCTCTTTTCCAGTCCTCTGGTAGTTCCCCAGTGCTCCAGGATCTTTGAAAAATATAGTTCAGTGGTTCTGATATCATATCTGCCAGTTCCTTGAGAACCTTGGGGTGTAATCCATCTGGTCCTGGTGATTTGAACTTGTCTAGGCTGGACAGGTGCTCACTTACCATTTTCTTGCCTATCTTAACTTGTATTTCTATTTTGTTTTTTATGGCACTATTTTTGATAGGTTGGTCTGTTTTTTCCCTTTGTGAAAAGACAGATGCGAAAAACGAGTTAAATAGTTCTGCTTTCTCCCTGTTGCTTGTCACCTTCTTGCCACTTTCACCCACTAATGGACCAATCGTTTCCTTCACTTTTTTCTTGTTTTTTACATGTTGAAAGAAGCTTTTTTTGTTATTTTTGACTTTGGTCGCAAGCCTTAGTTCATTTTGAGCCTTAGCTTTCCTCACT